TCCTCAGCTGCCTAATCCTCCGTCCGTGCGCTTACTCTCCTCCTAAAATGTCCGCGCCCGGGGTTAACATGGTGCCGGGGGAGTAATTGTCCCGAGGTGGTAACGTGTCCGGAGCGGATACAGATGGTGCCGGGGGTGGCCTGGCGTGTAGGTAAAATGGCGAGTGGGGGCTGCGTAAATGTAGGCCCCGGTATTGTATCCTGGACAGATATATACCGGGGAGGTGATCTGTCGGTGGGGTATGTTGTTATTATCCGTAGTACTGTATATGCATACTATGTATATGCTTATATTGTATATGTATATAGTATCACTGATCATATATACTATATACTAATACTAATCATCTAGTACCTATATGTATAATATTATATACCTATACGCCTACATTGTCGCTGTTCAAGTGTATTGTTCGCTGACAGCGGAAAATCTGTATATATTTTTACGAAGCATGAGCTTCATAGCACTTCTATAGGAAGTCTATAAATATACACGTAAAATTATGCGTAGGCCTATACTCCATGTTTATACCGGTGTGGGTAACTCTACGGGTGTACGTATATCAATGAGTCCATAATAGAACATATTTTCCATAATGGGGATTATTGACTCTTGACGTATATGATATACGATAAAATGGCGGCCATATTAACTGAAGGTATTCTTTGAAGCTGATGATTAAAACGTGTACAAATTTATTTCAATGATAATGAGGGTTTTGTGTAAAATATCTCTATGCAATGATATTTCCACGTTACGGTATAATGTGAGTATAATGGTTTCAGACTGTTGTACTGCGGCTACTGTGACGCGTCTATCGATCTTATAGCTAACCTCACCTGCCATATTATCATTCACCACGATGTATAAAGTATATATATATATACATATACAGGCCCGTAGCCAGGGGGGGTTTGCACGAACCCCCCCCCCAATATAAAGCTGGCTACGGGCCTGTATATATATACATATATTATGTAAAAGTGTTATGAATATAAAATTTGTTTCGGTTGTTTTGTCTTAATAATTTCTGGAGTTTGGACGACATTTTTTTAAATCTAAGGAATTTCGTAATTATATAGTATCTACTCGTAATTATTTTAATCGACATGTTTGGACTAAAGCGGTTACATAGATTTATAGATTTATCATCTAATACAATATATTTTGTCATGTATTTTTATTACTAAAGAAGACATTATAATTATAATTCCTTATAATTATATTATCACGATCAGGCAATCGGCCTATACCTAAACTTGCCAACCTATACATGCCAAGATATCGCATTATCGCAGTCATATCGACTTGGGTATATATTTCTGTGAGTTTAAAGCACGTGCGAACTGTACAGACTAGCCGGTGGATCGCCACTAAGGCCTACATGTCGACTCGGCTACAGTGCAATGTACGTTCTGTGTATGTACATCCTATTAACTGCACAGCCATTCGGCCCACACATTCCATACTTTCATTGACGTGTGCTGCGCGTTGTTAGTAATTTCCCACAAAAGTTGGAGGAATAACGATTAGAATATAACAGTATGCCTACATGTTGATCTTATCAGGAGTAGTTAATAGATATCTATGATATATTCTTGGTTTTATGTCTACTTGTGCATGGTTTTTGACAGTACATATGCTGAGGTACAATTGCATCATTACTGCACATTCGTGTGATTTCATGATGGTTAACTAGGCGCATGCGCGTCAACTGCAGTTACGGAGAAGTCATATATTGATTCCGTACGAAATGAAAGATGAAGAGTGTTTTGTAGCAGCCTACGCAATGCATGCGATAATGATAAAAATGTGCAAATACAGCCTCTTCAATATATAGGCGAACATAATTTCAACTTCAATCGTATTACGTTGCAGCTTCTGCGGTGATGTCATTGCAGCCAACCTCATTATATTATTTCCTGATTATGATTATAATTAAGCGACATACGAGACGCGACGTAGGTATATGTCGTTTGTTCTGTGCCTAAATATGTGCTAAAAACCCAAATCTTATTATAATTATATAAATAGCGGTCTTATTTCAATCGCGGTGCTGTCAATTTGCATCCTTAGAGTTTCAAGCTTAATCTCCTAGATACACACTAAACCACAATTTGTTCGTTTATAGTCTTAAGTATTGATTTTAGCATCACGTCCTAAGAGCATCAAATGAAGATTGTGAAATGAAACAAAATTGCTTTTTGCAAAATCAGTAATGTGGCAAGAACGTAAGAAGCAGAGTACGGAATTATGGTACCTTAATGCCGTACTCTGCTACTCGTCGGCTTTTATCAAATCACGTCTATGCTGTTGTTATGATTATACCTGTTGGCATAGTTTTCTGCTAGGTCGCCTTTTCTCACAGATATGGAAGTATACAGAGTGGTCATTGCTTAGACCCAAAATGGGTAATCGTCAATTAGTAAAACTTAACAATAGTTTAATAAAAACTTATCTGACCGCCTGCTCGTTTCATCGCTTGTGTGTTTTGCCAGAGTTTATTAACATTTAAATGCTTCGGCTTTTAGGTTTATTTCCGCTTAGATCATTTTCTTTAACGTTCTTATATGATCGGTATTGTCAACGCGCGAATTTGGGTAATATGTACGATATATTTTTGTCTCCCAATAATCTATAACTTATCACCGTATTCGGTAACAAATCTTTCAATTATGAAATAAATAAAGATGTTCTTAATTATTGTATTCTTTACATACATCTTGTTATTGTTTAACATCTAGAGCGGCATCGGGTCATGTAACGAACAGCAACGTTATAATAGTTAATGGACAAGAAATCCAGGCATGAACATCTAGCGTATAGCTTCCTTTACACACACACACACACACACACACACACACACACACACACACACACATAAAAGAATTACAAGCTTTTAGTTGCTCGAGTAATATTGTTGCTACATTGTCAACTTGATAGCACGTTACTTACACCGAGAGCCAAAGAAAGGGTAACGCAAGCATGCAAGCACACCGCGTGTAGATAGGAGGCCATATATTCGTGTATGGGTATACATATATGGCGCATATACTACAATATATATATATATACGTGGGCTTATGGTGGTGGCGAGACAAACTGGGTGAAAATGAGAGCGCGCGACAGTGAGAGCGCGAGCAAGAGAGAGCGAGAGAAATAGAGATAGAAGGCAGATAGATAGATAGCTAGATAGATAGATAGATAGAGAAAGAGAGAGACAGACAGAGAGAGAGAGAGAGAGAGAGAGAGAGAGAGAGAGAGAGA